ATAAAAATCAAAATAATAAATTACACTTCATCATGTTTTTTTTTAAAAAAAAAAACAACCTCTAATCTGAGGCTGGAGAGATTGCTCAGTGGTTAAGAGAACTGACTGCTCTTTGAGAGGTCCTGAGTTCAATTCCCATCAATCACATGGTGGCTCACAACCATCTATTAATGGGATCTGATGCCCTCTTCTGGTGTGTCTGGAGACAGCTACAGTGTACTCGTATACATAAAATAAATAAATAATCCCCCCCCAAAAAACCTTTAATCTTCATAGTTTAATATAAAAAGTGAAAAGACGAGTCTCAGACTGGAAAAGTAATTCTTGCAAAATATATGCACGCGATCTAAATTTAGGCTAAAGACCTCTTAATCATCTTTAAAAAGCAGGTCAAGTTTTCTCACGACCACAATCCTCTAACAGAAATCTTCTGAGTGACAAATGTGCATGGTAAATGATCACGTGACAAGATCCTCCCCAGTTCTGGTCCCGAGGAAGAGCGTAAATGTCTGGGCTTGGTGGCACATACCTGTAATGACAGCACGTGGAGCAGAAGCAGGAGAATCCTTGCAAGTTCAAGAACAGCCTGAACTATACAGCAAGTTCTGGGCCAGCCAGGCTATATAGTAAGGCTCTATCTCACAAGAAAATGTCAGTGAAATACTGCTATTAACCTATTAGAATTTCCAAAAGTAGACTATCCATACCAAGAACTGGAGACATGAGACCATGAAGCTCTCAAACATGGCTCATGGGAATATCAAATTCAACCACTCTGGCAACAAATTTGACACTTAAAAAAAAAAAAATCGTGTCCATTTACCCTAGGATCAAGCCACTCCACACCTAAGTTTTTCCTGAAGACAAATGAAAACAAATCCCATATGCAAAAAGTTATACACACGTTCTTAACAATGCAGCTATTTTGCAATAGCTGAAACTTGAAAATAATCCAAGTGTCCACCAACAGATGACTAAAGCCAACGGGTTGCATCTACAGAACAGAGCGCTGCACAATTAAAAAAGAATGGACTCTGGCTTGTACAATAATCTAAATGAGTCTTAGAATAAGGACACTGAAACAAGCCAGGTACCAAGCCATGACTACGTACGTATTCCATTAGTAAAAACAGCTACAGTGCCAACTGTTGTATGGTAACGTAGCTGTAGGTGAAGGTCGAGAGTTATGAGGGGCGGTAGTGAGGTCTGAGATGGAAAAGGTTACTATTGTGCGACACAAGGAGACATCTGGGTGTTGTTCTAGCTTGCTTTCTACTACGGTGATAAAACACAAATCAAAACCAGTTCTGAGAGGAAGAGGGTTTATTTTGGCTCACAGGTCACAGTTCATCCTCGAGGGAAGCTAAGGCAGAAACTGAAGCAGAGACCCCGGAGGAATTCTTACTAGCTTGGTTTTTTGTTTGTTTGTTTTTGTTTTTGTTTTTAATACAACCCAGGGCCATGTTCCCAAGAGTGCCATTCCACATCAGTCATCAAGAAAATGCCCCAGAGGCTTGTCAACAACAAGCCAACCTGATGGAGGAAATTCCTCAATTGAAGTTCACTCTTCCCAGGTGATTCCAGCTTGTGTCAGGTTGACTGACTGAATAAATAAATAAATAAATAAATAACCAACCAAGCAGCACAGGTATGGTGGATTATACTTACTAACTTGGGGATCAAAGATTGTATCACAGATGTACATATGTGTAAAAATTTACCAGAATATATTCTTTACATGTGTTTGGTCTATTTGTGTCAGTTTTCTCTCAATAGGGCAGGAATTAGAAAGCAATGAAGAAGAACGAGAAGAAAACAAAAGAGGAGAAAAGGAAGAGGGGGAAATAATGCAAAAGAAAGAGGAAGGAGAGGTGAGGGAGGAGAAGGAAGGAAGAGAAAGAGAAAGAGAATGGGGAAGAAGAAAGAGAAGAAGAAAATGTCTGTCAGAACTCACTTTTTTCACATTTCACTCCAACTAGCTCCGGTTGCCAAGAGAGGTCAAGCACTCGGGCTTCCTAGAAACACAGCCCAAACAGGAACCACTACCACCCTAGGTTGGACCTCCAGCAAAGCTCTCTACCCCAGCTCATAAACTTGAACATCTGAATTGTGTTTGTCACTGCCTCAAACAATCGCTGGCTTCGAAGCCACAGGAGATTACCCATTGCCATCCCTACCTCCCACCCACAGGGCAGCCCAATCCTAACACAGCAGGGAAACAGAACAACAGAGTTGCAGTGAGAGAAGTGTAAACAGGAGAGGTCATCTGGGTCTCCCACAACCACCCTCTCCCCAACCACCACAAGGAACAATGGTACAGGAAGCTGGGGCTTGCGGCTCTCAAGCAGTTACGCAAACCAAGTTGGCACCCAGCACCGCTTTTGTTCAGAGACTTCTTTTAAGAGTCAACCCTCTTAAAAACAATTCAGAGTGTTTTCTCCCTTGGGAAAGCGTGTGGCAACTTTCCTGGTTTACCCTGTTTTCAGTGAAATCATTCTAGAGAGGCAGATTCTGAGCCCATCTGCTGGGCCGGGACCACCATGCTAGTGAGTGGCTAGCAACTTGTTCCATGGGAGCATGAATGGACTAAGGGCTCCATATATTTAAAAAAAAAATCCAACTTAAAATAGTATTGTAGACCTCATTTTTAATAGAGTCCCTGTCCATTCAGAGACTCTCCTAAATAACCCCACAATTAATGGCATGTATTTATCTGCAAAGCCACTTACTTGAAATATACAGGGGTTGAGTTCTCTCTGGGCATTAAGTTTGTTTATGAGAAAGAAAGCTTTGATCTAAGAATAAAAATAGAGCAGTGGGATTCAAGTAAATTTACCCTGCTCTCTCCAGGAGCCTCGGGTTTAATCCATCTTGGGAAGAGTTCAATCTCAGGTGACACAGAAATCTATCTTCACAAGCAGCTCACAACTACATTAAAAGACATAATTAACCATTGTTCCCTTCAGTGACACTGTGGAGATAAGCAAAGCTCTCATAAGGGGACCCTTTTGTTGGGTTTATTCTTGTGTGGGTTTCTATCCAGACCACATGGTGTCATTACTACCTACTCAGGTCAATATGCAGAAATCTTTTATGTCAAGTCTCATCACATCCTGCATGAGACTTCTCAGTTATTCTCTAGTGCACAGCGAATGGGATCAAGGCACCTTCTATCACAACTCTTTTGGAACCTGACCTGTTCCCTGCCTAGCTAAATGTCACTGTGTGCGTTCAGGGACACCCTTTTCAGATTGTCATCATCCTTCAGATCTGAGACTTTTCGTATGATCAGTATTTCCTCGAGGCCACCTCTTCTCATCCCCCTAATCTAAACTAGAATGTTCTTTACAAGGTCATTTTCTTTCCACATCCTTGACACTCACTCCCCTTGCATGTGTGCCACTAAACTTGAGCATCTTCCACTTACTTAAAAATGAGTTTTATGGGGTCAGGAACCTAGGTTTTTATTCAGTGTTTTATCCCTACTGGCCTGCGTAAGTGCTGGATAAGATGCTTATTATATAATCATACAGAATGGATGAAGAACGGAAATCACGCTCATTTCTACTCTACTGGTTCTCTTCCAAACTCCAAGCCCACTTACCACTCATACCTCATTCCTGCCCTGTCCATAAAAATCTTCCCCAGGCTTCCTGTTTTTCAAGGAAGGCATACAACACAAGGCATACAAAATAACAGAGACATGCCTGCAACAGTGAGTACCCAATAAACGGAGGGCTAAATTTGGTAAGCACAAAGTCACTTCTTCCAAGGAAGAATTAGAGCCCTGTTGCTCAGTCCCTCTATCATTTCTGAATGTTCACACACTCCTGGCACCACATTTTGGTGTAATTTCGTTCTTCTTCACTTGACACGGTTCCTTCTTTCTTAAATTAATGCATTTTAAAGGAATATTTATAAAAAATTTAAAAACTCATTTCATCTACTGAAGGTCCAATTGTGATGATCAAGACAGTGGAAATAGATTTAAGATGATCAGTTGTGATGACCACTGCAGTGGAAATAAAGGCATCTGCTTCTAGTCAATTAAAAATATATTAAGACCAGCAATTGTTGGCAATGTGACAGTATTATTGTCAACATTAACAAGACAACTTCATCTTTCTCCGTGATATGATTAACAATCTTTAATGACCTCTTGGCTTTGTCCATCAGCTATGTGCTGTACATAGTTGAGGTACATCTATATGATTGCACTCTACCGTAATTATGTCCTTTCAATCACCCACATCTAACCCGTGCTCTTCTGACACTGTATTGTGACTTGTACTTGCCTTTGGCATTTCTTCTCTACCTTGGGTGATTGATTACATACAAATTTACATCTAGAGCTCAACTTACTTTTCTCTCTTTACATTCTCTATAGTTGCTGAGTGGATATTTTTTTAAATATTTATTTATTTATTTATTTTAATAAATATATATGAGTGCTTTGTCTTCACACACACCCGAAGAGGGCGTCAGATTCCATTATAGATGGCTGTGAGCCACCATGTGGGTGCTGGGATTTGAACTCAGGACCTCTGGAAGAGCAGTCAGTGCTCTTAACTGAGAGTCATCTCTTTAGCCCCTAAGTGGATGTTTTGTATAGAATATATGATTAATAAAGTTTTTATCTTTGTAGGTCTGGGAATTGAACAGTGTCTTGCACATATTATATCAACTAATGAAATATCCTTAACTCCATAAAACATTGAGGTTGAATTTACTATTGAGAATTTTGAACTTAATCAATCAAGAGACCATTTTTTCAAAGTTGAAATACCTAACAAAACCATTATGGTTTCACCTACTCTAGTTTGTTTTAACTCTGCCCTTCTGATTTCCTGCATGTCCGTACCTATGGCATCACCTAGTTAAATATCATGGAAACAGCTGGGGAAAAGATTCTGTGTAAGAAATGTGTCCCTTGTGCGCATGCATACACCTGAGGGAAAGCCCCAGATTTGCAAAAGAAACAAAGGCCAGACAGAACCAGGGAAAATCTGAATGTGTGATTTATTATATTTAAGATTGGTCTATAAGGCTTAAATATGTCTGTCAAAGTTAACAGCAGATGAATGTACCTTTACAAAATCAGTCTTTCGATACAGAACAGGACTACGCGTGGTAACTGGGCACTGGACAACTAGTATTTCCTCAATGCAAATATTCAACCTGCAGCACCATGTAGAAGCTTCTACTTGGCTCACGAGCTTCAGTATTCACTATAAACTCTGCTCAGAACACAACTCTGTCTACACCAAAAATTAGAGGAAAACCATAGCACAGTCATTCGGCCTTAATATGTCAGGTTTGGTACAGGATTAAAATACTAAGTGGTTTGTTTGTTTGTTTGTTTATGTCCTGGCTTCAAATTAATAAATACAAACACAATATAAAAATATACACCAGTTGCTAAGACTACACTGCCCAGGCCCAGAAAGTTAAATCTCGCTCTCATATGTATGCAGGTATGTCTTAAGGGTCAGAATTTCCGAATAGCTACGGCTAGTCTTCCGGTAGAAATCCAGACCGGTGAGATACTCAATGTCCCGCACCCGAGCTGTGTGCATCTTCATGAGTTCCTCTACCCACTTCGACTCATCCTCGGAGCTCTGCAAGGGAAGGGAAGCAATCAGATTTTTCTAGACAAGGTTAAACAAGGTCATTTTCTGCACACAGACTCAGGCATATTCTTTCCACCTGACCCTCCTACCTCTACTGAATTCGGTCAGGAATACACCACAAATATCCCTCCTTGCCTGTAGACATTCTCGCAGCGATAAGGGATACCCAAACAATTGAGAAACGTTGTGTGAAAGAGTGTTGTTCTCACTAGATTCTCAGAACATAAATCAAAGTGAGGAAAATCTTTGACCCTGTAGAATCTGATCATGTTGCTTTTCTTCTCAGCCATCAAATGTAGGGTTGGATTCAGCACACACTAAACCTGGAAGGCTCTTTTATCTCACAAAATAAGCAGAGAGTCAGTGCCTAACACAGGAAACGTGTGTATTCCTGCTCAGAAGAGCCATCACACCCATCACTTATCTAGGAAAGGACAGTTAGTTGTTATCTGATAATGAGTTCAGTTTGAAACAGGTCAGTATGGCACTCTGGGGCCCAAAAAGTCTGAGTTAGAAAGGAGACGCCACCATTTCCTTGCTTCCGTGACTTACTGAAGCTACTGATTCCACCAAGCTTCATTGATTGACAAGGGTACTAATGCTTACGTCAACAGCTTGCTGGGAGGTAGGAAAAAAGATTTAAAAGGAGCAGAAGAGAGAAAGGGAAATTTAGACAATAGTAAAGCACTCAGGAAAGGAAGGGAATATCCTTTCTGTCTTAGATGCTCATATAAAATGGCTTTGTTGGGAAACTCAGGGCTAAAACCATACAGAACAACAAAACAATGTATTTCATGTCTCATTTGAAACTAAAGGATAATTCAGATGAAGAAACCCCCACGTCTCAAAAATATTTCAATGTGGAGGAAACATTGGGGGGAAATAATAAGAACCGAGTGTCCAATGAGTTAAGCAACAGTGCCTTTCATTAGTAGCCAGGGACAGGAAGATCTTCACAAATAACACCACTACCTAATGCCTCTGAATCTAAGTGTCCAGCAAGAGTCTTTAGAGACATTTACAGGGTGCTACAGAGCCCGGAACCAAGAATATTCAGATGCCGTTGCCTACCTCTTGACCACCAGTGATCTCAGTGAACCAACCTTTGAGGCCCATGAACCTGCAAAGGTTTTCTCAGAAAGCTCCAACCCACACAGTAGCACATGCCAAGTCTAAATATGTTTCATGAGCTTGTTGGTTCAGGAAACCAATGCCTGGCCATTCCAGGCAAAGTGTAGAAATGGCTTCGAAGAGAGGAGTCAGGCCTTTCATAACCTCCTGCCTAACCTAACCAAGATTTCTGCAGCTCCCAGTATAGACGAACCTAAATTTAGCTCTACCCACAATGGTACTGACCAGTCCTCAGCTTGACCATGTAATTAACAAAGTAGGAGGTCTCCTGATGGGTCAAGACCCCCTCAGGGTAAGCATGAGGTTATATTTTGGGAGAATTTTCATATTTTGCTCCTTTGTTGGATTTTTTTCAATGGTCAGTGAGTCCAATGCTTCCTTTGTAAATGCAATATGTGAATGTGTGGGAAAGGGTTGGAAAGGGTTTCCTAATTCAAAATCACGACAAGTCAGAATGATAAGAATTCAAGAGTGAAAATCTGTCTCTTTCTACTTCTTTCCTTGAGACATAAATTGCTAGGAGTATTCTCTTCTGCTTTCCACATGCTAAAACTTTGTCTCTACTTTGTCTTAAACCAATTTAAGACACTACATGTAAATAAAACATAATTTGTCTTTACACTATGTGTAAAGAAAATATATTTGCTGATAATCTGTGGAAGTTATTACGGATGAAGTTAGTAGTACAAGATATGAAACTAATAAAGTTCAGACATAGTTCATATACACAAAAATAGGAAAGAAAAGGCTTTAAAGAATAAGTAATAGAATATTAATACAACCAAAATCACAACCCATGATTATTTTTATGCTATAGCTATTTATTTTTGAAGTTCTATTTATTTTCTTTTATTTGTATGTGAACAAGTGTTTTATCTGCATGTTTCAGCACCACCTGTGTGTGGTGTCCATGGAAGCCAGAAGCATCCAGTGTCCTGGAATTAGAATTACAGTCAGTTTGTTAGCTATCACGTGGGTGCTGGGAATTGAACCCCAGTACTCTGAAAGAGCAACCAGTGCTCTTAATCTCTGAACAGTTTCCACAAGCCTAGGTTATTTATTTTTCTCCTGTCTTTTCTCCCCAACTTTAAAGTCTAGGATTCAAGTCTCAGTTGTCTTCCAAGTAAACTTTAAAAATAGGCGAGGTTGCTAGTAGACTTAAGATTCTTAATTAAGAAGCAAGCTGGCCATGAGCTCTCTGGGAGAATTTGCAAACTTTCTGTAGGTTCAGGAACCAGTAAGCAGAGGAAGACTCCTGGGAACAGTAGTACAGATTTCATTTTCCAGGTGAAACCCTGTGTCACCTAGAACTATCTTGGCATTACATTTGAACCAAGCCTTTCAAACTCAATGTTGCCACATTCCTGCAGAGACTAGAGGATTCTCAAGTACTGAGGTGTACTCTAAACAGTCTACCATATGTATAATCTATACATCCTTTATATCTTTAAAATTCATAGCAATTTTGAGTTTCATTTCACATATGTGTAGTCTACCTCTCAACTGGCTTTTAGTAGGACCGAGGTTTTCTTGATGGAGTTACAGCGATGATATAAGGGGCATTATATTCCCCTATGAACAAGCACGGCTAAAACATCATACCAGCAAGCTCACGACAGCTTATCTCTGACTTTCAGTTTTCCCCCTTCCTCCTCTTTTCCAACCACATACGGTGCTCCAGAAACTCTCTGGCCACAGCATTTCTGCCTTCCAGATTCCTTTCTAAGTGTCTAAGATGACATCTCAGCTCAATTTCTGTACACCTCATTCCTATGAATCTTGCCAATACCTTTTGACCACCATGCTCACCCTCCTCCAACATAATTTATCTCCCTACGGCAAAACCTAAAGTGTTTCTCTTTTGATGAAACATTTTGTTCTTGATTATCTAATTGCACAATAAGAAAAGCGGCCAAAGTTCTCTACAGATATCTGCTAATTATCTGTGGAATTTAAAATTCCTTATCCTACAAACTAACCATCATCTTTTATTAAATATAAGTTCCTCAGAAGTTAACACAAAGGCAGGAAAAAGAAAGAAACTTTACAGGGCAATTAGATGTTAGCAGCCATATATGTTGAGGACCTATACAATATATGGACCATAACATGAACTCAGTACATGGTAACAACTACTTCTGCCGCTATTACAACCAGTACTGCTATGACTACCATTATAGTTTAAATTTTTTGATTATACACAATTTTTAAAACATCACTCATCACTTTGTAGCCTTTTGGCAAAAATCAAATGTAAAACATTATCCCCTATGAAATCCAAGTGTTTTAGATAAATGTAACTAGCTTTCTATACCATAGTTCACAGTTCTATTATCTCCCAAAGTCTTTTTTTTTTTCCGAGACAGGATTTCTCTGTGTAGTTCTGGCTGTCCTGGAACTCACTCTGTAGACCAGGCTGGCCTTGAACTCAGAAATCAGCCTGCCTCTGCCTCCCAAGTGCTGGGATTAAAGGTGTTCGCCACCACTGCCCGCCAAAGTCTTTATTTTGCTTTGAACATTCATGGCCTAAATTCTTCATCCATAATTGAAGCCATTGTCCAAGAGTCACATCTCCATGATGATGGTGATCTTGACTGAACCAATTGTTATGGCATTTTGCTTCTTCTTTTTTTTAAGATTTATTTATGTTTATTTATAGGAGTACACTGTAGCTGTCTTCACACACACCACAAGAGTGCATTAGATCCCATTACAGATGGTTGTGAGCCACCATGTGGTTACTGGGAATTGAATTCAGGACCTCTGGAAGAGCAGTCAGTGCTCTTAGCCACTGAACCATCTCTCCAGCCCATGTTTTGCTTCTTATTGTGACTATTTCCATTCATGTTTTATTTGCAGCCTCATATGGTAGGCTGACTAGGAGTTTATGGCTTTTGTCTAACACAGTGTTTTTTTCTCCTAGAACACTTTAATACAATTTAGGAATTTGAGTGTAATTCATTGACTAACAATCCTATGCTACAGATTCCATGTCTATTCTTTCTAGTAAGTGAAATGAATATATATCAGCTATTAGTTCTAGACCCAAGCTTGCAGCAGAGAGTTTCCATCACAATAAAGGCACATGTAGAGATTATATGATTTGTCCCTGAGTTTTAACTCTGTACACACAGAATGGCTCCTGTCTTATTGTTAAGGACTTTTCCTATTTAACTGTAATATATTTTAATTATTTTATAAGTATGGGTAGTTTGCTTGCATCAAATCTGTGCATTGTGTGTATGCCTAGTATCCACAGAGACCAGAAGAGGGCTTTGGAATCCCTGAGATTAGTTCGCTATGGTTGTGACTCATTATATTGGTACTAGGAATTGAAGTCTAGTCTTCTGGAAGAGCAAGCAATGCTCATAACCACAGAGCCACCTCTCTTGTTCCTGCTAAGGGCCTCTTCATTATACCATTCTGTTTTCCACTTCTATCGACGTGACAATAAATGATACAGAAGTCTTTTGTGCTTTGGAATGGCTATCATAGTTCCCATAACCAGTAGCACAAGATAACCTGACTAGTAGGTACTACACATGTGTGTGTATGTGTTTTTACAAGCTTTGTTGTGAGTATTTTCAAGCATCCACAAAAGAAGAAATTAATGCAATAAATTCCTTTGAACTCTTACTGTGCCCTAATTATTATCAAAATTTTGTGATTTTCCTTTTTGGTGCAATGTCCTTTTGTGAAGATGAAAACATCCAGGTACTTCATCATTTGTCAAAATTGAACATATAAATAGAACTGTGTTAAATATACACACATATATGCAAATGTAACACACACACACATACGCAGAGTGATAAATACAGAATTATTATTATAGGATACCAGGTCCCTATATATTTAATAATGTTCTGCTTGGGTCATTTCCCCTTTCCATTCAGCTGGGTGCCCCTATTGCTTTATAATATATCTGGTTCAGCGCTAGGGATATAAATTAAGAAGCTAAGTATGAAAATGCATCCTGGAGGACTCTGTCTCTGAACTCACATTACAGCTCTCATCATTGTCGGGTCGGTGAGGAAGGATAAAAGAAGACACGGAGAGAGGACCATCACACTTGTCTGCAGGCTGAGTGAAGTCCAGGCAGCTGGTGATGATGCCGTAGTAATGAGTGGGGACAGGTATAGAGCTGCCTTCCACATACCTGAGTCAGGAAAGGAAATAAGTTACGAGGCACATCGAAACTGTCTCTTAAAAGATGCTTACCCATCACTGGTGTCTAAGACACTCCGCTAGCCCCCCAGCGTATCTTTAAACATGATTGATGTTCTCTTTGCCTTGAACTGTCTACCTTATATAAAGCCTGGTGAGAAGAGAGAGATATCCCAAGAAAATCCAGTGGCTGGATTGAAGAGTTGGAGGCAGTCAATGATGACTAGGATAATAATAACTAGCAAAGAGCCTGAAGAGTCAATAAAAGACAAATCGTGAAGGTTTCTGGAATTTAGGAGCTATTTCATGGAGTTTGGGGGGATATGGAGCATCATATCGGATTTGTGTTTCCGAAAGACCACTATCATAGATATAGAGAATGGTCTAGACATACAAGACACTGGGTACAGCGGGAAAATGCACTTTTAGTCTACATTGAGATCTTGAACTTGGCATAAAGGAAGCACTAGTGGTGACGACCAGGAGACGAGTCCAGGGCTGTCAAATGAGCTTTCTCCAGTAGAGCAAAGTTCACACACTTAATTCCTCAGGAGCCTTGGTGTTATTATAATTTTAATCATTTTCTACATCTTGTAATTATGAGTGAACTTAATTTTGTTTAAAGAGTACCAAAATGACCAACAACACGTATATAATTAAGATGAAATTTCTTTTGAACTATTGAAAATGCTATTAATTATCTGTATTTCAAAATCGTATTTTAGCTACAAAGTATCTTTATTATTTGATCACTGTGCTTATTTCTGTTTCTTTGTGCATGTGTAAATGTGCTAGACTACATACTCCTTGTAAGCACAGTGTTTACTTTATCTTTTTATATCCCAAAAAGTACCAAGGGAAGAGAGATCATTGGAGTGATCCAAAGACTATATGCAACTTTCTAATAAGACATACTGGCTCAAAAAGTAGAAAAGATTCCAAAAGTCTCTAAAAGTAATGAAAATGAATTAAAATCACAATTTCTCTACTGAAGAGTTGTTGAAAAATAAATGGTCATTCAAAAATATCTTTGATACATTTTTATCATAAAATGGAGAATATGTGTCTATCACAACCGTCACATTTTCATTCTAACTACTAAAGTCATATTCAATCAAAGATGGAAAACAACTAAAGATTTTAAGATGAAATTCAAAGAAAAACATTTAAGAGTATGAACTCCTCTCTAGTTTATGAATACTCTTGATTGATGTCTTAGAATTTAGGCATCTCACACAGAACAGGAAATAAAAAAAAAACGCTCACTGTTTGATTTCATCTTCAGTGTCACGTAAACCATCGTAATTGTAGTCAAAAATCGGTCCACTTATTACGTTGACCCCATTCCTTTCTGAAGCGTATTTCTTCACCAAAACCCTTTGGAAATAAGCCCAAACACCTGTGCAAAGACACAAATCAATTCTTCATGCCCAAATACACTCGGTCCAGACAAACTCTCTGCAGGATGCCTTCTTCATATGCAATGTCAGGAACCACGAGCCATTGTGACTCATCAGAACCTGTTCTCAAGTGTTCTCTGTGCGGTGCACTATGAACTTGCAAAAGGAAAGATAAGAGATGGGGAAATGCTGGGGAGGCAGGAAGCGTGACCTAGTGAGTCAGGGAAAGTTTCCAGTGGAGGTTAAAGTGCCAAGATGTGAAAGCGGAATGAGCCGATATGTCCCAGGCAGAGAAGTGGGGGCAGGACATGCCCGATAGATAGTTACAGTGTGAGCAGAAGAGGAGTATTTTAGCCATTAGGCAAAATTAAAAGAAACAAACAAAAAAAAAACCTTTAGAGGTCAAACAGTAAAGTTTCTTAAGTTTGAAGGCTAGAGAGTGTAGCCCAGTAGGCAGAGTGTTTTTCTAGCATACACAAAGTCTTCACCACAGCACTGTATCAACAACATGTGGTAATAAATGACTGTACCCAGCAGCTAGGAGGTAAAGACCATAGGATCTTGAGATGATTCTAAGCCTCATAGAAAGCCCAAAGGCAACATTGGCTGCATGGAATACTGTCTCAGAAGGGGTGAGGGGCTGAGGGTACAGCTAGCTAAGTGGTAGAGGGTATATATGTCTAAAGTGTCTGAGGATCTGAGTTCCATGCACAGTACTAGAAAAAAAATGACATTTGTTTTTATTGCATAGCCAATGGTCACACTCCAGGGATTTTAATTTGGTTTTGAGGACCAGACTTTATGGTGCTTATTCAATTCACGGAATCACTATCAATCAAGAATACTTACCCTGTAAATAAATAAATTATATAAAAGAAGTTAAAATGATAATTTGCCTGACCCTAAAATCATCTGAATTAATATTCTGATAAAGAAGAATATTTCATAATCTTCTTCTGCATCTTAGGGTCAATATTCAGAAAACATAAGCACCCTAGAGGAAAAGGGTGCTCGTGGCCTCTGCAGACATATTCAGTAAATAAATATAGATGTTGGGAAGTGGCAAGTGACCTCTAGAATTCACTAAGACTCCATCATAAAAATAATAAAACAGAAAGAACTGCAGGGTAGAAAAATGCAACTGTGGTTTAGCTTGGCTCTACCACTTCATGACCTGGGTCACTTCTTATAAGGACAGTTTCCTAATTATAAGCAAAAGCTAGATGACTCACTGGTTTCCTGCCCAGGTAGGTCATCTATAGAGAATTTATATGAAATATCTTCACAGCTTATAAGCTGAACAGTCGCAAGGTATTATTAAAATCAGCACGGAGGTAGAAAAGGTAAGTGGCAAATTTAAAGTATTTACCTTCTAAGTAACAGTTTATTGGGTAAATAGTGTACTTACGTTTGAAGGCGGGGTACATCGGAACCATGTTGGTTACGAGGAATGCATCATACTTAGCTTCTGGGGAAGAGCTCAGGTCTAAATTATCAAGTGGGAGAGCAAAGAGAACCTATTGCTTACCAATCTCAACATCAACAGAAAACTCAGTCTCCTAGGCCAACCCAAAGAGTTTGAAGCCAGCAGGTCTATTCTTTTATTTCTCCTTATCAGCTTCATCAAACCATTCCACTCAGTAGATTTGCATCCCTCAACCACTCTCAGGAAGTATTTACAGCCCGTTTCTTCCTACCTAGTTCAGTCTGTCATTCTTTGATTTCATTATTATAACCTAGACTCTTTAAAAAATGTCATTAAGATAATGAGCCATAATTGTTTTCAGGAAATCACCTCTTCAGGACTGGGCCACTTAATAGCCTCCCTCCCACGCTCAGGCAAATGACTCTTATTAAACTCAGTGGGCCACACACAAAAAACAAGGACATAGGAGTAGGAGCAGAGCGTGGTGAGAAGGTTCTAGCAGGGGACAGGGTGAAAGATGCCAGTGGGAGATAAAAAATGACAAACGCTCATCATATAACCATATAGAACCGTCAAATGGCACCTGTCTTAAGAAAGAACTAATCTCCCAATAACTTAGTATTTCTTTCAGATTCCCTTAAACAATGTAGAGGAAAAAAGTTTCCCTTATCTATACTTTAGACTTTTCCAGAAGAGTAGAATATTCGAAATCTGGTCATTTTTAGGCTTATTTAGGGAAAATCTCATAGTCTCACAAGTACTTCCCTATGAAGAAACCACAAAACACTGAAATCCTAACCAACATGCTTCAAACCCCAGAATATACCTCCCACCCTGACAAAGACACGAATGTGCATGCATACACACATATACACACCCATACCCACACACACACACACACACGAGAGAGAGAGAGAGAGAGAGAGAGAGAGAACGCGTGATGCATACCCCACATGCTGCAACTTACAGGGAGGAAAAAGGAATCCATATGACATCTGTTTATCATTTTTATAGGCTAAACAATTCTGACTGAATCCTGGAGACACACGAACATCTGGGCGAACACAGTTGGTCAGATGCTCCGGGATGCTGGAGACCTCAGCCTGCATAGGGAGTGAAGACACTCGGTGATGCTATTCCAGAGATGAGACCAAATGACTTCAGCAAAGCTAGAGCATCTACTTTGAACTGCTCAAACCCGAATTCACTAGCCTACCATAGTCCATGCTCTGATATTCTAACTTCTTTTTTAAAGCCCTTTATTTTAAATACAATAACTTTCAAACTCTTAATTTCCTGCAGTAGAATCTTTTTACCATCTAAAGTTAAACAATACGTAAAGTGGAAATCCTACTGTCAAAATGCTGAGAAAGCATAGACAAGTGGGTCTCAGCTGTTGGTTATCCACCCAGCCTAGCCTACTTAGTAAACTCCAAGTTAGTGTGAAAACCTGGTTCATTAAAAAGGGGTGCATGGCATCCCTGAGGTACCACACACACATCCTTTTTTAGCATATATACCTATCTCTCTCTGTCTGTCTGTCTGTCTGTCTGTCTCTCTCTCTCTCTCTGTGTGTGTGTATGTACGCATGTCTCTGTGTGTGTGCACTTGCAGGTATGCACACACAGAAATACACAAGGTTGTTGGGGAAGTAGTATTCTTGTTATTTACATTTACAAATTGAAAATATATCTCTAAGAATATATATTTGATGTATATGATATACATAATATATATTAAAACTACAAAATAAATCATCCTAATTTCTGACCTTTGTATCGCATCCTTATGAAGTCCTTATGAGCTCCAGTTAAAATCTTTTTAATTAAAATACAAACAGAAGGCTAGAGAGATGGCTCAACAGTTTGGAGCACTTGCTGCTTTTGCAGAGGACCTGGGTTCAGTTCCCAGAACCCACTTGGTGATTCGCAACCATGCATAAATCCAGTTGTAGGGAATCCTATGTCCTATTATTTCTAAGGCATGTGAAGCATATATGTATGTATGTGTCTGTCTGTCTGAATATATATATATATACATATATATGTATATATATATGCAGGCAAAGCACTCACACATAAACTAAATAAATCTAATAATTATGTTTAATTCTTGGCAACTTTTGAAAAGTTAAATAAAATACAAAGAAGGTGTTAGCACTGGCTGAGCACCGATGTATCTGGGGACTCTCTCATTTCACTAAATCCAAATTGCTGTAGAAATTACTATTCATTAAAACACACACACAAACAAACCTTAATAGTCTCTGTAACTATTGGGTAAGATGTAAACAAAGAAAAAAAACCTAAAAGTATTAGCATGCTCCCTTCAACACTTAACAGTATTATAGTATTACAGTAGAGCAGTCAGAAAACTGAATGTAGTTTAAAATATCTTGCAATGAAGCAGTAAGAAGTATTTCCTTCAAGAATGACACTTGAGTTCAATCCCTGGACTTACAAAGTGAATAGAGAGAACCAACTCCATAAACCACCCTTTGAGTTCTAAAGGCAGGCCATGGTGCGTGTGGACACACATGCATGCGCACGCACACACACAAATAATATTGCAATTGATGCAACAGAAGTTTTCTTCAATCTTGAAAAATTACAGTAAAATCAAAACACTCATTGTATCAAACAAAGAGTATAATTCCCAATTTCCTCAATAACCTGCTTAGAAATGGTGTATGATGTCCAGAGAGGCATTAAGAATATTTCACTGTAACCACTTTCAAAGTCTGTATGGTATAAGATATCATAGCTAGTCCGATAAAGCACTGCAGGTCGTCCATACAGAAGATGTCTCTCTAGGAAAGAAAGAAAGAAAAATCTATATTCAGTGCATAGTCAACCTTACATCACATGTAAGATATTGGAAGAGGAGTCAAGTTGCCTACAGTTTGCTAGCTTACTTATTAATTAGACAGTGACGTCTCCTTAATTTGATCAAGTTAGTTTCTCTAACACATCTGTGATTTATCTGACTACCTTACCAAGGGTCAAAACCATAATGCTTTTGGAAATTGTCATATGTAAAGGTCGGTATAAAAAGGAAACATCTAGTAAATTCTAAGTCAGCTAAATGGAAAGCCAATAGGATCGGATTTTACATAATTAAATGATTTGACCCCTGAAGAGGTATATCAGGTTAGCCAAGGGTTCAATTAAAAATAAGATTCTCTCTCTTATAGCGACTTGCAAACTGCAACTAAAATATGCATTATTTCAGCATAAAGAGAGAGTAGTTAGCAGCTGTATCTTTAAGCATGGACTTAAAGAAACATGTATAGATAACATTAACAGGGTATTTAAGAGGGCCCCTCAAATATAGATGAGAAGCTCACTTATTACCAATGAACTCATGTAAGACCCCAGAGTGCAGAGTTGGGATCCTTTAAGAAGAGAGACACTGAAACCTTGCTTACTCTTTGAGGTGAAAGATGAGAGTTCAGTACTGAAACCTTTATTTCAACCCCCACTCAAAAAAAAAAAAAAAAAAGCCAAGCCTGGAGCTTGGCTTACCCAGTGGAATAGGCTAAGCTTCCAAAAATTTATGGAAACTGGGGTCCATCCATGCCCACATATTTAGAGATTGAGGCTTAGCAAATTCACAATTCCCTAAATAATTTAGAATAAAAGCTGCTTTTACTATATTTTTATTAGAAAAACTCTAGCAGGCACTTATTAAATTATATATACATGTTGCTTTAATTAAAGTCCAACCCCTCTATGCAAGTAGTGGAGAGAAAAATGTTCGCACAGTATTTCATAGAACCCTCCCAAGCAGAAGTGCTGATTTGCGGCAGAGTGGCCCACACTATCCCAACGCAAGCAACTTCTGGGTCATCTGGCTTCCTGAACCTTGCAGTAGATGTGGAAGCCTTGTTTAAGCTGCCAAACTTAGGGGTCCACCCCTAAGAATCAGAATAAATGAAAGCAAATAAACAAATTAAAAGCCAGCAAATCCCAGCAATAGTACTTGGGGGCCATAAACCGACCCAGATTTTCCTTCCAAACTCAAACCAAACCTTTTCTAGGTTCAACATTTCCATTAAGGTTTCTCTTGTTTTCATGTTTGCTGCCTCTGAGTTTCCCGGTTTCGGCTGGAAGCAGAAGTATCAAAATTCTTTGAGAAGTTATTCTCTTTTTATCAGTTAAGTCTTAAAGCTTACCAATTGTGGTGGTTTGAATATGAATGTTCCCCCATAAACTCATATATATGCATGCTTAGTCACCAGGAGTGGGAGTATTTAAGAGGATTAAAAGGATTGGGAGCTTTGGGCTTGTTGGAGAAAGCTACACTGGGAGTGAGGCTTTGAGTTTTGAGAAAGCCCTCTCCCCTCTCCCCTCTCCCCTCTCCCCCTCTTCTCTTCTCTTCTCTTCTCTTCTC